ATCGTCCCCGAAAGCCTGCTGAATCTTGCGAATGGTTTACACTCGGGTATCGCCAAGGTTTTTGGCAAAATTTGATGTAATATCGCTGCTCACGTTGTTCAGTCATTTTCCAGCTTAGTGAAATCCGACGAGAGCACACTACATGACCTCACTCATACGCCGATTGCCAACGACTGACGCTTCCTGCAGGCGGGAAAAAATTCAGGGCTGTGCATGACTGTCCCCTCCACAACTCCACCGAAGGAGGCCTCTCTCGCATCATTGGTTTACGCGGAAAAAAAAAGGTCCGATACTTTTTGAACAGACCTTGTATACAAATCAATGAAATGCCACAATAATTTGAATCAGCATAAATTTTGAGCTTTTCTTTAGGCTTAGACTAGAGTGTGTTATATCGAATCAGTGTTAATAGAGGCAGTGTTAAGTGGGGTCTTAATGTACTTGGGTACTTGTGGCCCACTGGCTACCAAGCAGGTCCATTCCCTGAACACTGGGAGTTTGGTTGTGGGTTCGTGCCTCACCAGAACAGGCTGGCCATGTGGAGTTTTCTGGGTTTTCTCCACGTCTGTAATGCCTGAATAGCGGCCAGTTACCCTTAAAAAGACTTCCTGGAAGGCATCTCCCTAGACAGATCGCCCATGTGTTGCATTGCCATAATTTAAAACTCACTATATTTGAAATTTTTTAAACATGTTTTAATTATAATACTGTAATATTGTAATATTGGAATTTTTTTTATAATTGCATTGTGATAATATAATTAAAAAAATGAAATATTTTATAGATTGTGGAAGAAATACAAATTCAGAAATTATGGGGCGAGAAAGGGCCTTCTTGGGAATTTAATTTAAGAGATATCTTACGCTGGTGTGAAGTGCTTTTATTTAATCAGGTAATTGTTCTAAATTTTTAAAAATATATGATGTTATAGTTGTCATTTTTTACTACAATTTACAATATAATTTAGTAATTATAAATGTTACTGTTATTATTATTTCTGGTAATCAAGAATTTCATTAATGCAATTGTATTAATTTATTATGTCATAGCAAGATTCAAGTTAAATTAATTATTTTCTATACATTCATATATGAGAATATTTTTCTTTAGTTTATTTTGTTATTACTATGAATAAAACCATAACCTAAAGCTTCTGTAATTATGGTAATTCTTTTGAATATTACAGCAGAGATTATGAAATTTAAAAATTTTATATTATTTCTTCTTGATAATATGGAATAATTTTAAAATGTATTTTTTTTTAGTATGATATGAGAAAATTTTGTACAGTTAAATAACAAGTTAAAATTATTATTTTATTAATTTGCATTTGTAAATATGATGATTTTAAAGTAATGAAAACTTTATTTTATTATTTTATTTACGTTACAATAATTTTATTTCTATTCAATTCTATATTATACATTTCATTCATTATAAAAAAAATGTGTTTTAAATACAGTGAACCTCCTATAACACTGTTGATAATTCCATTTTATATGAATTCCATGTTGTACGAGTCACTTAGATTTTACAAATATGTGATCCGTTCACAGCCCGGCACACATATTTGTAAAATCTAAGTGACTCATACAACATGGAATTCATATAAAACAGAATTATAAACAGTGTTATAGGGGGTTGACTGTATTTTATTTTACTATAATAATTTTTATTTAAAACCAGCTTACCCATCTCATATTCTGCGATCTCAGAAGAAATGAAATTCAAGCAAACTCATTATAATAAAATTCAATTTGCATTTTATAATTTTTATTGAAACTTATTATTATTATTCATTTTCATCAGGAAAACATTTCAAAGTGTCGTTTCAATTTTATTTATTTATTGGAGTGCTTGTGAATACATGATATTTTTTGTTTTTCCATCTTTACATGAATAAATCAGAAGGTTTTCCGATGCATGAGCTGGCCATATACAGTTTTCCATGCGAGAAGCACGGATTCTCCAAATCTAGCCCACATACTTGCAGCGATTGTCAGAAGTGCAATATTCCCCATTTTTATATATATTTTTTAATCCTTTACAATTTTAATTATTTAATTGCTCCTTCCTCTCTTCCTTGGCATGTTGTGAAATTTCTGATAGTTGGATAATAAACTGTTTTATTGTAATTTGTCTTTTTAAATTATTTTGAGTTGATATTAAAATTTGGAAAAAAGGAGATCCCTAGATTGGTAAAATAGGCGAATTTTCTCTTACAACTTCGGTTGTTGTTTGGGATACAGTTAAGGTTTTAACAAAGTTCGAGCGAATACATAATTAGCAAAAAATACAGTAGTTGAAATAAAGTGATTAAACAAAAATTATTACAAATATCGTAAATAACAGTTCACAAATGCATATATAGAGATATTTTTTG